TTTTTTAGATTGAATCTTGCTCTGTCACCCAGCCTAGAGTGCAGCAGCTCAATCTCGACTTACTGCAACCTCCGCCATCCAGTTCAAGCAATTCTCATGCCTCAGCCTCTCCAGTAGCTGGGACTACAGACATGCAGCACTATGCCCAGCTAATTTTTGTCTTTTAGTAGAGACGGGGTTTCACCATGTTGGCCAGGCTGGTCTATAAATCCTGACCTTAGGTGATCTGCCCGCCTCAGCCTCCCAAAGTACTGGGATTACAGGTGTAAGACCGCACTTTGATAAAGACAAAGAACTTTGTATTTTATATATTTTATAGCTCTCATCACAGGTGTCTAGTAAATGTTTTAAAACACTGATGGCACCTGATGCAAGAATTATCAGACTTATCTCACTAAGAGGAAATGAAACTGCTCAAGGGTTTGGACTCACATGTTCAAGACTTCGTGGACAGCAATCCGCAGTGGGTCAAATTATTGTTTTTAGTATGACTTAAAGTGTTTCTCAAAAATATAAAAGTCTTGAAAACAAGCTGGGGAAGTGAATTTCAAAATCCCATTAACTAAGACTAAAGTGCAATCCATCAACCTTTTTTCCTCATCCCACACCTTACGCTTTCTCTACTCAGTTACTCACTACGCCCTGCTGGACTAAAAGGGTCCTCCAGCACTTTCTTTTTTACACAGTGCAAGACATTCTCTTGGCGTTAATAAATGTTTACTTAATAAATAAAAGAGGCTGGGTGCTGTGGCTCATACCTGCAATCCCGGGACTTTGGGAGGCCAAGGCAGGAGGATCGCTTGAGCCCAGGAATTCCAGCCTAGGCAACGTAGCGAAACCCAGTCTCGAAAGGAAAAAAAAAAAAGCATCAAAAAATAAAGGTAAAAGATGGCATGACATGACCCGACTTTTCTAAAAGCCTCTTACAGCTTTCCAAGGTCTTTTAATATGAAGCTGTAGGTCTCAACTAGAAGACACCTCCGAAGACTTCTCCCAAACATTTCAGAGGCAGGAATGAGTTTCCCCACATCTGAAGGCACATCAGAACCCAGGTAGCCACGCCCGGCCTCTTTTTCTTTCTTTGAGACGGAGTCTCGCTCTGTCTCCCAGGCTGGAGTGCAGTGGCGCGATCTCGGCTCACTGAAACCTCCGTCCAGGCTTTTTTCCAACCCAAAGGCGGGACTGCGCTCTATCTCGACTTTCGGCTCCACTCGGAGCCCGAAGTGGCGCACGAGATAAGATGTCCGGCTGAGGTAATTCTGTCAGTCCCGGTAAAAATTCGTCAGTCTGGGAATCTCTCGGTTTGGAATTAAATTCTGTCACTCCGAATGGAAATAAGTCCGCTTAGGCGGGGAGAATCCGTTTGTGGAAGACACTCCGCAACGCTCCGCCGGTCACCCCAGAGGAAAAGGACCCCAAATACCTTTGGCCCGGGACTGCAGCTGCCACGCCGGACTCCCTAGTCACGCCCCCGACACGCCCCCGCGGACAGGTCAGACCAATGGACGCCGAGCTCTGCCGCGCGTCATGCGACGCTGGCCAATGGCGTAGGGCCACGACCGTAGAAAGGCCGAGCGCTGCGGGGCTGGCCGCTGGGCGGCGGCGGCGGCGCGTGGTGCGTAGTTTTGAGCTATGGTGATGGTGGCAGCCGCGCCGAGCCCGGCCGACCGGGCCCCTAAAGTACTGCTTCTGTCGGGGCAGCCCGCCTCCGCCGCCGGAGCCCCAGCCGGCCAGGCCCTGCCGCTCATGGTGCCGGCCCAGAGAGCGGCCAGCCTGGAGGCAGCGAGCGGGGGACCGCCCCAGGCGCGCAAGCGACAGCGCCTCACGCACCTGAGCCCCGAGGAGAAGGCGCTGAGGAGGTGGGCGAGGGGCCGGGATCTGGGGTCAGGTCTGAGGCCGGGACTAGCGGCAGGGGTCGGGACTGGGACTGGGGCTGGGGCTGGGGCTAGGGCTGGGAGCGGGGACCCACCACTGGCCGCTCCGCAGGGCTCCGGCGCCTTTGGCCTGGCAGGTTGGTGCCAGCGTGTCGCGGGGCGGGTCAGGAACCCCGGAGTGACCGGATCCGCCACGCCGGGAACCCAGGGCGGCCCAGGCCTCTTTTCTGCACTTTTTAACTCTCTAGTTAGAGATGACTTGAGCTGGGGATGCGGGCACTGTCTTCCAAGCCCTCTTGCTGTGTGGCCGCAGACCCGTGGCTCAGCCTCTCTAAACTCGGGCTGTGACATGAAGCCGAACAATCTGTTTGGTTTACTACGATTTGTGAAGAGGCACGGAGCTGAAATAACGGCTGTTGAAAGGGCTGGGAGCTCTGGGAGGCTCACTGGTCTAGCCCAGTGTCTGCATTCTTACAATGGAACCTATTTCATGAGGTCTTTGGGTAGATTGAGACTTGCATAAAATGTACCTAGCATTTAGTTGTCCGTAAATGTTCACTCTTCTGTGATCATTATGCCTTTTGTGATTTATGAAGTGTCTCCTCTGAGTTCAATTAATTCTTAAAAAAAATAAAAAACGAAGTGTCTCCTCCAACAGACACAGGCCCATCATCAGAGCACTGCCTAGGATCCCAAAACTAGAGATCAGGGAATGGCATCAGCCTCTCCCTTTTCTAAATTGGGCTTGGGGACGGAGGGTTGATGTCATAGGAAGATTGCAGCCTTCACTAGATTATTGAGGTCAGGTTGGATCCTGTTGAGAGTTGGAGACAGGAAGCAGCGGGGGAGTAGATGGGGAAAGAGGAAAGTTCTTTATGATGCAAGATGAATAGTGTGTGTGTCCAGCCCTAGTGCTGTGACGGGGAGGAGTCTGAGGTGGGCGGATGATGCAATATGGGAGAGAATAAAGCAGGTCTTCGAGCTAGATTGACAGAAGACTGTATTTTATCATTAGTTTATCTTATACTGTAAATAAAAATGAAAGCACCAGCTGGTCAAGTTTTCAAATAAAGACATAAATAAGGTTTGAAATGACTCAGTGTGGTATGTTCCTTCTCTTCTCAGGAAACTGAAAAACAGAGTAGCGGCTCAGACTGCCAGAGACCGAAAGAAAGCTCGAATGAGTGAGCTGGAACAGCAAGTGGTAGATTTAGAAGAAGAGGTAAAACTACTTAAAGTCAAACTCTTATCCGTTGTATACCCTTCCTTGGTGAATGTTCTGATATTTGCTTCTCATCCCAAGTTGTTTCAGCCCCTGTTAGAGTACAATTGAATATTGATTAAAAGCTAAACTAGACCAGGCATGGTGGCTCAGGCCTGTAATCCCAGCACTTTGGGAGGCCAAGATAGGCAGATCACTTAAGGCCAGCAGTTTGAGACCAGCCTGGCCAACATGGTAAAACCCTGTCTCTACCCAAAAATATACAAAAAAAAAAAAAATTAGCCACGCATGGTGGTGCTTGCCTGTAGTCCCAGCTACTAGGGAGGTTGAGGTGGGAGAATTGTTTGAACCTGGGAGAGGGAGGTTGCAGTGAGCTGAAATCGCACCACTGCACTCCATTGTGGGCAACAGAGTGAGACTGTTGTCTCAAGAAAAAAAAAGTTGGTCAGGCACAGTGGTGGCTCATGCCTGTAATCCCAGCACTTTGGGAGGCCAAGGTGGGTAGATTACTTGAGACCACGAGTTCAAGACCGACCTGACCAACATGGTGAAACCCATCTGTACTAAAAATACAAAAATTAGCCAGATGTCATAGCAGGCACTTGTAATCCCAGCTGCTCAGGAAGCTGAGGCATGCGAATCACTTGAACCCAGGAGGCAGAGGTTGCAGTGAACTGAGATTGCGCCACTGCACTCCGGCCTGGGCAACAGGGTGAAACCCTGTCTAAAAGAAAGAAAGAAAAGTTAAACTAATCTAAGTTAGGATAGATAGGTAGTTGGTGAAGTGGTGAAGCTTGTTGAGGGCAGAAGTGATTGACTTTGTGGCCTTTGGTGTTAGATGTATCTCAGAGTTGATGGATTCAACAATGTTTAGTGAGTTTGTAGTAAGAAATTAGAAAGGGCTAATAGGAAATAATTGCTTAAACTTTACATCCTTCCTTGGCATGGCCAAAAATTCACAATTACACATCTTGAATACATAGAGATTATTTACATTTTTTTAACCCCTTGGTCAGTTTGCATATATTGTTCTTTTTAAAGTTTTAATCATTAGTTGGTTCTTCTAAGAATCATGAGTCTTTCAGGAACGGGTTTTTTTTAAAACTTATTTTGGATTCACAATCACCACTATCACTGTTAATACCTGCCAGTTCAAGATAGTTATTTTTTTATTTCTTTTTTTTTTTTTTTTTTTTTTTTTTTTTTTTTTTTTTTTTTT